CTTGATCGAAGATCTCAGTCTTCTCCTTAATATCAGCTTTGAGGTACTCCACCTCGTGCTCCAGGGCCTCCTTGGCTTTCTTAAGTTTCTGCACCTTGAGCTGCGAAGCCTCCTGACCCGCCTTGAGGCTCTCCACCTCGAGCTTTAAGGCCTCCTGGCCTACTTTGAGCCCGTCCACCTCGGCCTTCAGCCTGTCCCTCTCACGGGCTAGCTCCTCCTTCTCTAACAATAGAACTTCAATGAAGCTCTTCTAAGCTGTAGCGTCACCTTCCAACTGATGGATCTTACACCGAGCTGCCCTCAGATCAGTATGAGCTACACGAGATGACTCCTCAGTAGCCAAAGCCCGCCTCAGATATCGGTCAGACTGAAGGGTCAACGAGTAAACGACGATGTTCACTTGGCAAAAGGAGGTCGGTCAGTACCAAAGAGAAAAGAACGAAAGAATGGGAAAATGATGATTCTTGAGTGTGAACTCACCACCATAGCATGGGTTGCAGCGCGGGCCCCAAGCTGACCAAGGGTGAGATCGGTCCAGTCTGTAACCTCTGCGGGGTAGACAACCTCTTTACTTTTTTGGAGGCTACACTAGGGGATCAGGATGCTCTCCTCCTCCTCCTGGCTCCCCGAGCTGGACACCACCGTCTCAGCAGCATGATGGGCCGATTCTTCGGAAGCCTCAACAGCAGCTTCGGCGGGATTAGGAACTTCGGCAGCAGCCCCAGCTGGCTCAGTGACCAGCTCTGCCGCCACCTCAGGCTCCTGAGATGGTAAGTCCCCCTCCAAATCTATCACTGGAGGGGCATTAGGGAGCTTGAGCTCCGAAATGGGAACCTGTGGAAGCCCGGGCCCCGAAGAAGGAACCTGTGGGAGGTCGGGCTCAGGGGTGGGGGTACTTGGGGGCTCTATTCGCGCCTTCTTGGCGGTTCGCTTCTTCCTCTTCTTCATATGGCGAAGGAGCCTCTGACTGGTAATCCTCTCTTCCTCCATGGGACCTGCAATAGAGCTCGGTGTCAGTAAGCTCGAAAACACTTAGCTGATTAAGCGAGATGCTAAGGTAAAAATAGACCTACCCGGGATCAAACTGGCTTGAATGAGCTTCTCTTCGGCAATGTAATCTTTATGATCGAAACCAACCTGAGCCCATAAGCAAAGTGTTTCCCTCGTCTTCCTATCGAGAGTAATGCCGGGGTCTTGAGTAGCCACCCTCCAACTAGTAAGGAAGGGCCACCCCGTGCTGCTCCGGACTACAAAGTAGTCCCGCTTCTAGGCCGGGACCTTGCTTGGGAATTTATGTAACAATTTGAAGCCCGGGCGGGGGGACAGATAGTAGGTCCGCCTGTGCTCGAGGAGAACGCCCGAGGCGCTCTTATTTATTGACAAAATAGAACAAAGGATATCTATATCTAAGGGAAGGTTGTATTTTAAACAATGGGAGATAGTCCCAACCACGTTTCGAATAGAGTTTGGGTGGAGTTGGTCCAGCGTGACGTTAAAGCATCTCAACACCTCAGGGATAAGGAGGTGAAGAGGGAGACAAAGCTCGCTGACGAGTTGCTCCCTAAAGATCACAATCTCATCCAGGCCGTGCTCCCAAGGGAAGTTGCCAGTAGGAAGACTATATGAGTATTCCTAAGGTAGGTTGAAGTGCTGGATGAGGTGCTGAAGTCTCTCCAGCGTCATAGAGGACGAACCGAACTGATCTGGCACCCGACCTCGGTGGGAGGTGGACGCCAGCCTACCCGAGGTCACCTGTGTCTCGTGGGAAGGCTGGGCAACAACGGGGTCACCCTGACCCGAGGTACCCACCTCGGGCTCATCTAAGAGACTATCCCCGCTAGACATTGAATGAAATGAACTGAAAAAGGAGAAAGGGAGGCTCGGGGACTCACCGAGGAAAAACGCAACCGAACTAGAACTGGACAAGTTAGAAGACTCGAGCTGAAGACTCCAGACGCGAGCTCAAGCTAGACAAAGGATACTTTGTGACGGAAGAAAATGACCAGGGTCCCCCACTATTTATAGCCACTAGGCCCGGGCACCAACGGTCATGATCGAAGAAATTTGACGGTTCTCAATAAAACCGGTTGTGAGGCTCTCGAGGTGAAATCAGTTTAGCGCGTTTTTTGGCGTCCGTGAAGTCCAGATCGTGTGACATCCGCGCGTGAGTTGTACGCAGCCCGGGTTTTTCCTTCCGAGTGAATCGAGCGCCAGACCGGTCTAGCCAACGGGTTGCCCGACAGGGTGGCATAAGTGTCGAGCCAAATCCACACGCCGCACCGTGAACTCCCTGCGCTGGGTCAACACCCCCAGCACGGGGAGTGGGGGGCAATTGATGGAGGGTGATTTGGCCCGACCTCGTAGCACAGGGACACGTGTGTGTGATCTGGCTTGACGAACAGCTCAGCCTAACAGCACAACCGTGACTCGATGGGGGGGACCCGCCGAGTCCAACATTGGCCGCTCAGCGGGTTAAGCGACTCGCCGGGGACTAGCGCCCGGCCAACCTTGACTCCCACCAAGTGTAGGAGATCCCGAACCCCTCTCGGGGCCCGAACTCCTCTCAGGACTCGAGCTCCCCTTGAGACCTGAGCTTCCTCCTAAGGGGCCCTGAGCTCTCCCTTCCTAAGAAGGGAGCACCCCAGCTTTTGGCTAAGTGTCCCGAGGGAGAAACACCTCGGGGCAGCACCGTCGAGATTCCTGTTCGAACTTGCTTATGGCTCGCCTCCAATGCGGGCACCTTGGTATACCTCGGCACCTCGGTGCAAGACAAATCCGCCCTAGGAAGTTCAGTGTACGGTAGCACGGCAGATTGCAGGGAGATCTGCCTGACATCCGTACCTACCGGATCTGATGGCAGTGCTCGGATCCCTTGCCAGACGGCGTTCTGCCTGCCGTCTCTGAAAAGCATGGCATGCCTGTCGGAGTCTGTACCTTGCAGTAGCAGCCTGTAGCAGTAGCCTGCACCTGCCACCTCTGCCCTGGCGGTAACGGATAGCGCAGTGGCGGTTACACCTGATGTGATCGAGCTTCGGTATAAAAGGACCCCAACCCTCATGAAGCAAAGGTATTGAAGCTAGCACTTTCAGCACTCTTAACTCTCTGTGTCTTTTTTGAATTTTCCCCAGAGATCTAACTTAGCCATCGAAGTGTTCCCTCCGGGAGAGCTCCCAGGGAACCCTTCACCTTCTTCTTCCTCTCAGGTGCCGTTCATCACTGATAGGAGCCAACTCTCAACCAACTAGGAATGCCCAGATTATGCTGCATCAAGACCCAAATAAAATACAGGTCCATAGTTTACCTGTAAGTCTGTAACTAAGATAATTTCGTATTAGATATTCAGAATTGTCATTCTTTGAGTAAGAGATTTAGCAAGTTTATTGTCAAATTACCAGAATAAAGGCTTGTCAATATATGGTAACAGGGTTTTATTGAATCACACCATATAAGTGCCATGAATAAATTATAGTGGAGCTGGGTTCTCTTTCACGTGGTTTCTTAATTCTTATCAGTTGACATCTGTGTGTACTTCAAACCAAGATGAAAGGTAGGGAAGAAATGGATGGTTGGACTTAGGACCACAATGGAAAATGAAAGGCACTTTTTTTTTAAAAAAAAACCCTTGAATTTATTTGGGGACACTACCAGAATGATCTTTGGATTCAGTACAATATTACCAAGGTATGCGTAGACTTCACGGATTAGATTTTTTTTAAAGAAATGAAAATGTTCAAGGAAAGAATGTGACAAAGAAGATGAAGAGCCCAATCTCTTTGTTCTTTGTTAACATTCATAAAAGAATCAAAAATAAAATTGGCTAATGTGCAGGATTGGAGGAAAAGATTAAGAGCCCAATCCACTCTTGAAGAATGTCAATTTTATTAATTTAAAGAAAATTAATTTTGACCTCTTCTTGGCTTGGGTCAAGGGATCACATTTCATGCCATGGACAAAATCTAAACCATCAAGCCTTCTTGGATCTCGATAATGGTAATTGAGATAATTTGACTTGGCTGATTGAGTTACAACTTGCAAGCAAATCAAAATGATGCAAAGTCTTGTGTTGTTATGTTCCTGAATAAGTTATTTTTAAAAGGGTTTCTAGCGATAAAGGCAACTTTTTGTCCTGAATATTAATAAAGTGTAAGATTTTTATAAAATAACTAAAATAAGATAACTATTTTAGAAAAATATCAGAAAAGGGCAGTGGCACTGTTCATCGTCTTCCTCTGCCTTCCTTTGTATTCATGCCAGCCATTTCAACGAGTCAATGGGTCCCGACAGTCCATCCCACGTGCCGGAGGCTCCAGAAGTTATCTCTCTGGGTTTACAAACCCAGCACCTAGGCATTCCCTGCAACCCTCCAGAAGTTATCTCTCTGCATTTGCAGAGAGAGATGATTTCAGATACCCAAATAAAACACTCTCCGTAGCCGTAAGAAAACAATGGGAGAGAGAGGCAGAGAGATGATTTCAGATACCCAAATAAAACACTCTCTGTAGCCGTAAGAAAACAGTGGGAGAGAGAGATGATTCCGGATCCGTAGAACTATAAAAACACCACTAAATAAAAATAAATTAATACTAAATAGTAAAAAATGGGTCTGCAGCTGACCTATAACACTGTGCAGAAACGATCGTTACGTTAGTCAATGGCCGTTTTCTTCTTCAAACTTCAAAGTTCAAAAACCTTTTATTATTTTAAGCGACCTTGCAAACCTAGAGAGAACTTCTGGACCCTCCTGCACGTGGGATGGACTGTCGGGACCCGTTGACCCGTTGAAATGGCTGGCATGAATAAAAAGGCAGAGGAAGACGATGAACAGTGCCGCAGCTTTTTTCGATATTTTTTGAAAAAAGTAATCTTATTTTAATTATTTTATAAAAATATTACTTTTTATTGATATTCAGGGCAAAAAGTTGCCCTTATCTGCTAGAAATCCTTTTTAAAATAGCATTGTAGCACTAATGAAACATCAACAAAATCCGAGGCCAATAACATGAACTCTAATAATCCCAAAACAAAGATAATATTAGCCCCCCAAATTTTCATGAAAAATCTACATTGAAATCGTCCCTGTATCAGGACGAAAGCCCATCATCAGATTCCATTATTGCCTCCTAAACCACTGAAGATTTTCTTCTAATAACAAGGTGGTTCCAAATAACTATGGGTTCCTAGTTCTGATCTACTTAAACAAGAGAACCCAATTTCAAATAAAAGTTTCCAATCGTCTTTTCCCGTGAAAAATCAGTGTAGTAACCCTTCCCTACAGCCATCCCCTCTTTAGCTGCAAGTCGTTCAACTTCTGCCTGAACTTGATCAGCTCCAACCCTATCTGGTTCCAACAAATTACAAGCAACCTCAATCAAGTCATCGCCATGTGTAAGCGCCATGGCTTGCACTGATGCAAGCCCGCCTCCTCTTGCACTGACCTGCCTGGCAATTCTACGAACAGCATTGATATCAGAAGAAAAGACAGGGACGTTGTAATTATCAACCCATTGGGTCGCTCCAATCACCATAACACCTTTGGCTCGAGTTACTCTTGCTGGGCCCTCATCTGGCTGTAATGTCAGAGATTCAGATACAGGTCCTCCTGACCATTGGTTTCCTTCAGTGTTGGGCTTGAAATAGCCCAACTGTCTTCTAATTGAATCAAGTGTTCTCCCCTTTTCATTAGCTGCTCCATATAGAAATGTCGGCACTGCAAGATTTTATTATCAGTAAACCAAGGATAAACAAATAAAATTTTTGAGTATTATAAGCATGGTGGAACATATAACAAAACTCTCAACATTAAGAAGTCTTTCTTAACAATGAGCATTGCTTCTAAGTATTGTATTCAATTTTTTTTTTTTTTTTTGTTAAGTAGTATTGTTAGAGCTTCCAATATTTGTCTTTAATTATTGCAATCTTGAACATATACTAAAAAGGGAAAAGGAATGCAAGAGTGCACACTGAAGAATAAAGGCCTTTTGCTTCTCTAGTGCTCTGGCTGCACTCCTGCCAATCAGTTTCCAGTTGTTCAACTATCCACTTGGTCATGCCACATATTAAACTCAAACCCAGAGGACTCCTAGTTCTAATTGTTCATTTGGTTGCTCTATCAAAGATAAAAACTCGCTAAGGTCATCCATCCTGGATGGCAAACACCGTGGGACACTTGGAAAGGTTCCCAAGTAACAAGGGAAAGCGGTAATGCAACTAAAATCACATGTAATTGGCCCTTTAAGGGGTATTAACAACATATGTTAATCAATTATCAACATTTAGTATATTTGTAGCATTGCAGCTGTTTTCAGTTTTGTTGAATTGAGCTGAAATTCTTCCAGTTTTATCTAGAATTGCTACCAAGGCAGATAACAAAAACCTTGAAGTTTGGAGCCAATATCAGCTGCAACGGTCTTTGCAAGCAGAGCAACTTGTTCCAGAGATGTTTGTGCCAGAGGATGGAAGCAGATGTGATCAACAACTCCAAGCCGAGGATGACTTCCACTGTGTGATTCCAGGTTGATGGCTTCGAAAGCTGCATTAACCATGGAAAGCACAGCTCCTCTCAAAGAAACAGAATCCATTGAGGGGTTTGGGGCCAACTTAGAGACCAGGGTGTAACCGACTCGGTTGTATGTTTCATCTTGGAACTTGTTGACGATGGAAGCTTCCCGGTAAAGCAAGGCAGCCTGTTCAATCGACTCCAGTGCTGCTCTATTTCGACTTTCAGATATGTAGACTTTGCAACAAGCAAGCATTGACTTCAGCATTTTCCTTGCTTCTCACCCCTCAAAACTGCACAATGAGATGGATAGTAGATAATAACAATGATACGAAAAGAAATCTTGTGGCTTCTAAATTTTCTTGGACCACAAACCTATCCACTCAATTGTATTGATGGTACAACTAGGGAGAAACATCCAAACACCCCAGCACCAAAAACGAAAATGGGGGGGGGGGGGACGAGATATTTTCAAGAAGAATATCTCAAGCACATCCGTTTGACATCCTTTATCTGAAGCACATCGTAATAATGCTTTTGGCCTCTAAAATTCTTTACAAGAAATCCATTGTCTAGGTAAAGCAACCATTCATTGAGGCAAGTCTGTAAATAGGTCAATGTGGGTATTCTGATATTCTCTGTCTGTGTGCGTATGTGTTCTTTTCTGATTTTCACTTAATAGCTTAATTGTAAAAAAAGTCAAGTTTCTTAACTTCCAGTCAAGCGACAAACACCTAGTAGTAGAAGAGACGCCCACCTATTTGCAGGAAGCCTAAAAAATCTCTTCCAGAATATAGTTTTCATAAGCAAACATTGAGTTTCACTACGTACATTTAAATAGTTTTGCAGTTATTTCGAAAGACGAACAATTCTGATCAATATACAATGGAACTCAATAAACAAATTTTACTGCAGCTCTTCACAAAGAGAGAAAAAAATAGTAGAAATACCATCAAAATTCGAAGTCCCTGATGTCAGAGGACCCGGGAAACCCTTCGTACTCCAATTTCATGGACAATGTAGCGGAAATAGCCTTAAATTTCGACCTCAGCGCATCCATAATTTCCTGAACACTCTCGTTTTCTGGATCCTGAATTGGGTATTTTTCAATCAGTTCTTCCATCTGTTTGATGCTTTTCTGAATCCTAGAGGAAAAGCAAGTGGGATCAACTCGAATAGCAGAATTCCAGACATCAACGCACCCTCGATAGAACCCTACTTCCTCCCCAACTTGGAACCCTAGTTTAAGACCCACTTCTCTCCCTTCCTGCCTCCCTAAGGCCAGTGCGTCGTTAAATCCGTCTCTGTAACCCTCCTGAAAATGGGTTTCCTCTAAATTAACACAAGCATCGAAAATGTCATCCGAGAATTTGGCGATTGAGGACTTAGGTTCCATGGTTAATAATGGAGATTTGACGACACAAAACTCACAAATGGCGTGGATTGGTTCCCACAACGAACGGTACTGTACATGGTAAGATATGATGGACGAACGGTACTGTACATATGGTCCCCGTCTATAAAAGGGACGGTCCCCGTCTATAAAAGGGACGGTCCACATTTCAATATATTTTTGTGGATGGTTCACATTTGGTGAAGACAGTTTGTCGGAGTAATGCACCAGTTTGTCGGAGTAATGCACCTGTATTATATTGGTCTAATATTCTTATTTTACTTAAATTTTTAATATTTTATCAATTAAATAACAATTTTTAATGCTAATTCTAACACAAGTCCGATGGTTTTCCTTTTCCACTCTTTTTTCATTATTTAAATATTATTTTAAATATTTTATCAATAAAATATTTTTTAAAATTTTTAATATTTAAAATGATATTTTTTAATTATTTAAAAAATACAATTATTGCCTATATATTAATTTATTGATGCCTTTTTTCAATTTATTTACCATATAAAATGCAAAAATTAGACATTTGTGATCGACTGTGTAGATCTCCCATCAAATGTATATGAGATACATGGAATCAAAAAGTGTGGTGTGGACTCCACACCACACCTATAGAGTGTGGACTGGTTTGGTCCACACAATCTATCCAAAGGTGTGGTGTGGACCAGTCCACACCCACCAATTTCTCATCTACACTATAGAACACCCTCTAAATTGACTATTTGACAAAATGCTTTTCAAAATTGTGTGTAGGGTATGATATCCAACCAAATCTGCTCCCAACAAATATATGTTCCAACATAAACATAATCTAACACTACACATTTCACACATGAGAGTTTGAGATCTCCTACCAACAGAATATGCTTCAACCATACATCTCACCATGAGACTGGGACTCATGGGAACCCTTATATGAGATGTGTGGTGTCAGATTGTATTAATAGGGTGTTGGAAAGTATTTTCTTGCTAGGTTATTCGAACTCCATGCATAATGTTGTCTCTTGGTCTTATCTCATGGTGAAACATTGAGGGGGCGTTCTTCTTCTAGATTTTGAGAGGGGAAAAGTTGGTCAATGGGATTTTGATTCCCATTAACAAAGAATCTCATGTTCTTTTTTCAGATTTATGTGGGGATTAGGGAAAGTTTATGTTCCTGGGTAAATGATACCCATAGGTCTTGTTAGTTTGTAACACTGCAGCTAACCTAGGTAAGTACACTTACCTAAGTAAATGTCACCCAGGAAACATTTACCAAGGTAAGTGAACTTACCCATGGACTTTTGATTTTTAGGATTCCTAGGTAAATAATAAATGGCAGTTCTACCCACAAAAAGTAACTATTAAAATGGGTAAAATGGTCCCATCATGTTTTTGTAAAAATTTCTCCGAGCTGGAAAAGTTACTTACCCACCTGGGAGATAGGTAAGTTTTACCCAAGAAAGTAAGGGCAACTTTACTATGGGGCTCATTGCTTAATGCAAAAAGAGCATAGGAAAGTTAGTCAATGGGAAAAAAGTTACCCAACTTTCCTATGCATATTTACCTGCAAATGAACAAGACCAAAGTGATACCCATCCCCTAAGTGGGTAAATAACTTTTCCACCTGGTGGGAAAGTTTCTAACACTTGAATGGGACAAAAGTTCCCCTTTTAATAATGAATTTTTATGGCTAAAATGGTCATTGTGTTATTCACATGGGAAATAAAAGAACATGGGTAAATGCACTTACCTGAGTAAGTCTTTCCTATGAAACACTTACTTGGGTAAGTGCATTTAAGTAACTTATCGAAAAGCAAACGAGGCCTGAAATGTACGATGTTGGGGAGTTCACCTTTGCCCCCACAGAATGCACCCCAAAAACACCCCATATGTACATCTCAACGTGCATTGAGAACATCTTCCATACTTGTCATTGGGAGATATTCCTAATACATGATTGGACTATGCTATGGGACGTTTTTGGGGTGCATTCTGTCGGGGGCAGATGTGACTTAGTTGGATCTGTTGAAAGCATGTTTGGAATATGTTTTGTTAGGAGCATATTTCAATACATCAATTACTACAATCCATCCACCCTTTAATTTTTTGTTTCATAACTTTTTAATAATCTAGATCCAATGCAAACATGAAATGCCCTCATTTGATATAGGAGCATGAGAATGGATGGGGAGAGAGTAAAAAAAATTTAGTCTGATTAGAGCAACCATACTCTCCTCATTCAAACCATGAAAACAAAGGTTTGGAGGAGGAGGAGGTTCCAAAGAGGGGTTGGGATCTTCTATCAACAAAACGCTCTCAATATTGTTGTAACCGGCCACTGCAACCACATTATTGGGAACATCTCTCCCATGAATGAAAAGAAAGATGTTCCCAAAGTACGATTGCAATGACTGGTTGGGATGTTGGCACTTTGTGGTAGATGATCCGAAACTCTCCAAAGAGTATATGTCATTTTCTTCCCCTTTTCTTTTCTCTTCTTTCCTCTTCCTTTCCCTTTCTTTATTTCTTCTTCTTACCAACCGCATTCAAATTTTGATAGATGATTCTCATCTCAAGTACTAGTCAATGTATCATTTTAGCAATTGGCAAACAACTCCATTGATGCTATGTTACAGAGGCTTATCATATCATTCTCAACCATGACCGTATGTGATTGCTCTTGGAGTGTGAACTCAGCTAGAGAGTGATATGAATCCCATAAAATAGGATGAAATGGTTTAGGGAGTGCAAGGGAAAGACAATGCCCAATTGCCATATATATTCATCAGTGGAGCGTTCAATCAAAGAAAGGGCTTGCATACTCATTGGTGCTCAGGTTCTAAAGTTGAATTGGTTGAAGTTCTTACTTGTTCTTGTTTCTCATGTATGGTTCTGTTTGTATCAAGGGGGCACTCGTTTTTTGGATTTTGAGAGGGGGGAAGTTGGTGTTGGTCGATGGGATTTCGGTTTCTATTGATCAAGATACCCATATTCCTTTTTTAGATTTATGTGGGGTCCATGGAAAATTTATTTTCCGTAGGTATCTCTAGGTGGGTAAGTAACTTTCTCATTTGGGGGAAAGTTGTCAACACTTAGATGTGTCAAAATTGCCCCTTTTAATAATAGATTTTTATGGCTAAAACAATCATTATCTTATTTACCTAGAAAATAAAAGAACATGACCTAGGTAAGTGCATTTACTTGGGTAAATAACTTCCCAAAAAGCGAATGGGCCCAAAATTTTGTTAATTTGTTTGGTTCAAAGATTTGGTAAAGTGTGTTTCAAGCCATTTTTAGGTCTGAGAAGGGAGGTACTTAATCCATTCTCCTATTCTAGGCTCAAACATGAATAAGTAGTTATTTTCCACTTATTGTGTGGTTCCACCACACTTATTTGAATAAGTGCTTAAAATAAGTACTACCAAATAGGGCAAAGAGAAAGAATCCTCTTCTCTCCTCACTTTCTTTTTCTCCTCTAATCACTCAATTATCAATACACAATTAATGGTAATTGCAACTAGACCTATTCACGGGTCAGGTCGGGTTTTTCCCTTACATTAATAGAATATGCTCAGGCTCGAGGCTGAGCCTGGCCCGACCATCGAGCCTAGGTCTTGAGCTCGAGCCTAGCCAAAAATTTGGAAAAATATTTTTTTTCTTTTTTTATTCAATTAAAAACTATTGTATTTATATTAAGAGACCTCAAAACCTAAAAAAAATAATGAAAAATCTCACTATTACTTGAAAAAAGAGAAAAATATTTTATATATATATATATATATATATATTACAAAATAGGGAAAATTACACTTTAGTACCCTGAACTTTGGGGGTAGTGTACCAGAAGTTTCAAACGTGTTGCTGTAGTACCTAAACTTTCAAAAAGTGTCAAGTTGGTCCTTATTGTTAACCGACTGTCAGTTATCTGTTGAAAATTAGGAATGGCAATAGGGTGGAGCGGGGGTCTCCCCATCCCCGTCCTCACGGGGATCCCCATTCCCCAATATTTTTTATAATGTTAACCATTTTGTTTTTATTTTTTATTTTATTAAAAAAAGTAAAAATAATATAATTAAAATTTGCAATCCTATTAGAAAAGATTCAAACTTATTCAACCATATATATAAAAATATTAATATATAGATGTATGTGTACATATATGCATATATAATGTATGCATACATATATATATATATACGGGGCAGGGATCGGGGTCCCCGTGGGCGGGGAGTGCTCTCCTTGTCCCCGCCTCGTCCTCGCTAACAGGGATGAAAATTTCCCCATCCCCATCCCCGCCCCGAATGGGGCGGATCCCCACGGGGATCGGGGAGATGGGGAAAATTGCCATCCCTATTGAAAATGTCAAAACTACCCTTCAAAAGAAGACATTGTTCATTGTCTTCTACCTTGAGACTGAACCAGATGAGGTGTTTGAGATTCTAGACTAATGAAGTCATTGTCTTCTACCTTTAGATTTGAAACACATTCTTATCTAGTTATTTCTTTGCTTTTAATTATTATTTCCCACAATCATATTTCATGTTTTTTCTCTCTATTTCTTTGAAGATAACCGATTCAGTCTCAAGTTAGAAGACAATGGACAATGTCTTCTTTTGAAGGGTAGTTTTGACATTTTGAATAGATAACTGATGATCAGCTAACAGTAGGGACACTTTTTGAAAGTTTAGGTATTGTAGTGACACGTTTGGAAGTTCAGGTTGTAACTTGACACTATAACCAAAGTTCAGGTTACTAAAATGGAATTTTCCCTATAAAATATATCTTTATTATATAATGCATCGTCAAGTCGGGCTTGGGCTCGGGTCGGGCTTTTTGGAGAAAGCCCAAGCTTGGACTAGAAAAAGGTTGGGCCCAATGTTTTAGGCCTGAGCCCAAGCCTGTGGGCTTGAAATCTTGTCCAAGCCCGCGACTTAGATTAAGTCGGGCCGGCCCGGGCCGTCAGGCTACCCAGCCCATGAACAAGTCTATTTGCAACACTTCACCCACTCCCCCCTAATTAAATATGAACATACCAACAATGAAAATTAAAGTACA